CAATGCTTTTGACTTCAGGATGGTAACCTATTTCAAATGTGTTATGTATATTTTTATATCCCAGGCCATAATCAAACTGCTCATCACCAAACACATCAATGTGTCCATAGTTTCACGTATGAACTTCACACTAAGGTTAAAGAAAGACTGAAAATAGCCTCACGTTAGTTCAGGTCGGGTTTTTGCCTCCAAATAAATTCTGAGAAAAAAAACTTTTGTTTTAGAGCTTTTTCTTTTCTTTCTTTCTTTCTTTTTTTTGAATTGTGGTTAAAGGATTTTGAACCCTTGTTTAAGAGACTGTACCCTCTTTTCCTGTGTTGGTGGAAATTTCTCTTCCGTGTGTCCTCCACCCTCAGTCTCTCCTTGGCAGAGCTTGGGCAAGTGCCAGACTCAACAGGGTGCCCTTGTGAGATGTGAACTTGACCTTAACATACACATGCTTGTTGGAAAACTCCAGTAATTCTGTAATTACTGGTGGATCTGGTGAATCCTGGAGAGCATGTGAGCACCCAAATAATTATCTTGGGGAATCTTCTAACTCACCTTCACCTTAATTATAGGTATCAGCTGTCTCAGTGGTTCTAGGTGATAGATGATTTGAAAAATTTAGTTTCCCAGGAAATTTAAGCTGATGAGTTATCTGTCATTTATTCTTCTACCTTCTCCTTTCTTTCTCCCACTGAACCATCTCCTCCCCTCCCCAACGCAAGTGAAATGGGATTAAAGCTGTGAGCGAATTCTGAGAAACCTAACTTCAGGCATGGAGATAATGAACACCTTGTTGACAAGCATAGCCAATACTGTCAGAGTGAAGTAAGAACAGTCTGGCCATGAATCAGTTTCTGAGCTTGAACTGACAGAACTGTTTAGGAAGTGAAAATGCTATTTTCTAGGTTCCTGTGTGCACTCAATGAGGGAAGGTGAGGGTTGGTTCTCAGTTGAGAGGACTTGGGGCTCTCTCAGAAAGGATTTATGGTGGCTGTGTGGGCCAGTGTTGACTGGTAGAAATATAATGGAGCTATACTTATCATTTAATATTTTCCTATAGCCAACTTTTAAAAAAGTATTATTTTAATAAGGTAATTTATTTAAAACGCCATATCCAAACATTAGCATTCCTTTGTGCATTCACTGTAAAATTAATAAAGATATATTTTAAGCCAGTGGCTGGTAGCTCATGCCTGTAATCCTAGTTACTTTAGAGGCTGAGATCAGGAGGCTCTTCTTATAAGCTAAAAGCAAAATAAAACAGAGAGAGAGGGAGATCATCATATTGGAGGAAAAACATTTTAATATGTACTTCCCCCACCCCTTCACAGTTCTGGGGTTTGAACTCAGAGCCTTGCACTTATAGCAGGTGCTCTACCACTTGAGCCAGGTCTTTTTGCTTTAGGTATTTTTTGGATAGGTTCTCACTGTATGCCTGGACTAGTCTGGACTGCCATCCTCCTACTTATGCTTTCGTCATAGCTGGGATGACAGGTGCACACCACCACACCTAGATTTATTGGTTGAGGTGGGGTCTCCAGAACTGCTCCCATCCCTGCCTGGAATGACAGTCCTCCCAATCTCTGCCTCCCAAATATGGTTTGAACCATCATGCCCTGCCCAATATGTACTCTTTTTGGGACATATAAAAGCATAAAAATGTTGATGCCAACAAAACAGAAAAATACTAATTTAAAGCAAAATTATATTAAATAACTCTTTGAATAAAGTAAAAGGTTGTTAAAAATCCTTACCACAATTATTTCAATTTTCATGAATTCCTTTATCCTTGTCCCAAGCTTCTATATTTTCTACCTATGTTTTTGTGATACACATGTAATTCTTATTCTGCCTTTTCTTTTTATATTTATAATTTAATCACTTCCCATTTTTAGATAGTTTTCATATCTAGCTTGTGGTTAAATGTTTGACCTTTTTATAATTCATTTGAGTAGTGCATTTTGTAGGTTTATTACCAACTGTGTGAGGTAAAAATTTAACATGTCTTAAAGTCTCAATCATTAAACTGCAGAGTTGAATATCCTTGTTATACTTTTGGGTTTCATCCTCTGAGCCCCCTATTCGTCCCTGTTCATCCTCTGAGCCCCCTGGGATTTGATAGGCAATGAACACAAGGCTGCCTGGTCTTCCTGTAGACTGAAGCCTTCTCTTTTTATCCCATCTTCACATAACACCACCCATCTTGCAAATCACTGTCTCTCACTCTTTTCCTGCTTTTCTTGAAGAGGGGAGAAGAAAGCTGGCTGCTTAGTTGTTGGGGAGCGAGAGTGGGGATATGACACCTTTGGACAAGGCCTCAAGATGGAGGACAAGACTACAGTAAAGATGCTCAAAAATGCCAAGTGACCACAGGAATAATCATCAATGACAAAAATAAAGTATAATAAAAAAGATCTAAAAAAAAAGAATAATCGTCACTGATTTTACAAAGGACTCGCCATGTGTTGTGGGCCATTAAATGATATTACGTGCGACAGTCCTTAATAATGAGTCCTAAAGCCTTGAATACCTATTCAGTTCTCTTCTCCTCTGTCCATTCTTTATTTCCAAAGAAATCAGAGCCAAGTGATAGGACTTCAGGCCCACTGCCTATGTGCAGAAGCTGTGAAACTGGGTCAATACATCCATTCATCTGCCTCTCTTCTGGGTCAAGAGAGCACGGTGACAGCATAGATTACAAAACAAAGGCATGTTAGCTTGGGGGCAGAAGGCCAAAAAAAAATCCAAATTAACAAACCATAAGGTCAGTGCTAATGAGTAGAGAACTTGCTTGTGTAACTAAGGTTCTCCAAGGCTCAGAGGAATTTAATAAAATTAGATAGTGCTTCAATGATTGGCATCAGAACAAAGCTAAATAATAATAATACAGTTAGCACAGTAAATGCAAATTATTTGTGTACGTAATTATAGATTTATGCAAACTCACGAACCAGATGAACTCCTCCCTCCGCTCTGAGAGCGAACCTTTGTTTTCCTTCTGGGAGTTGAAAAAAGTCAGTGTGTCAGTGATTCTTCTATTTCTGCCCATTGGATCATCATGCAGAAATTAAATGAGGTGTCTAATGAGAATTTAAATATCAACATTCTGTTGAACTTGAAGAAGAAGCACTAAAATGTTTAGTTTTCATTATATTTCAACATTTTTTGTCGTTCTGAGTTTGTTTAATTTGAATTGGGGAAATTTTGCATAAATCTAAATTCTACTGAGGGTGCTGTGCCAATCTCTTTTTCATATTATTTGTCAGAAAGATAAATGTCAATCTGCTCAATCCAGTCTTTAAAACATGTATGCTGCAGAAAACAATACCCTCTTCAACTTCAAATGTTCAGGCATTAAATTGATCCTTTGGACTAGTCCAAAAATATTTGGTAGCTTTACCTGGCTGGCTACGCATTTGACACCATCATTATCCCAAAGTATTGAAAAACCAAACCAAATCAAAACAAAGGGTAAGGACCCTACTGGAGTGGGTTGGTCTTTGTTAGAGTCACTGGGAGGCCCTCACTTTGCATCTTGAGGAATGACATATATTTCACAGTAAAGGTCAGGTCCTGAGCTGTGGTGCTCACCTCAGTACTGAGCACATGTGAGTGGATTGCCCTAAGTCCTTCCCAAATGACAACAGTGAGACTTATGATCACAATGGAAGCAAAGTAAGTGTGTAAGATGATATTAAATATTGGCTTATGTAAAACAGCCTGCCCTTATGTATTAATTTACCTTTAGACTAGCTCCTTAGGAAGCAAACGGACCCCACTGTTCCCTGAAATGTCACCACTGTCCATCCAATACAGTCTAGGCCCTCATCACTTAGATTCAGGTAACTCTTTCCACATTTTCTTGCCTCATCCTACCTAAACTACTCTCCACAGTCAATTAAATCTGCCTTTAACAATGCAATGTTATGTCATTCCCCAACCACACAAGCTAGATTAGCACGCAATCGCCTACTGAATCAGGTTTGTGTGCCTCAATCTCCCCGTCTACTTAGGCTTTTCTTTCTTGCTTCCTTTTCTTCCTTCATCCTTCTTTTGCTCCACTCTTTTCCTGCTTCAGGTTTTCTACTGAATTATGATATACATACAGAAAAATGCTCATATAAATGTACAACTTAATGAATTTTCACTAACTGAACACACCCAGGTGACACTCTCAGATCTAGAGAAATTACTACCACTCTAGAAATTATTCCTTGCTCCCTCCTGTGTACCACCCACCCAAAAGGAAACACTTAACCTTCTTCTAAGAGCAGAAATAAATTTGGCCAGGCCCAACTTTTACTAAGCTTTTCCTGCACGCAGGACTTAGGGGAGTGCTGTGGCTCTCCAATCCTGGCAGCCTAGGGCAGCAAGTCCAACTGGCGTCCACACAGCTGATGTACTTGAGTGTCCTTAGATACCATCTGGGTAATTAGAATTTACTCGGGAGCTGCCAACTGGAGGTGTCTGCGTGACAGTGAATGAGAGTGAGTGGGGGGGAGCCTGATTCTCGGTAGCATTTGATGATGACGAAGCTACCTCCTTGTGCAGCTTCACCTTCCTCCCTCCCAGTTTCCTTGGCTCTGCTCCTGAGTCATCTCTTCAGCTTCCTACTCTATGGCATTTTGACAAAGGACTCAGAAAAGGTACCTTCAGCTGTGGCATTCAACCCATGGAGTCCCCAGCTACCACCAGGGCCTTTTGTACCCAAGGCAGAACACCTCCAGGATGGGGAGGGCCTCCGGTTCTACTCTGTCCTAGAAAGCATCCTTCCTACAGATGAGAACATTTTATTTTATTTTAAAAAATTGTTTTTATCTCTTGTTCTTTTTATCAGCAATTAAGTAAATGCTGCTAGTTGATCTCTTATTTTGAAGTTGAGATTTTCTTAAACATTTCTACTGAACAATAATATAAAAATAGTAAACTAATTATTGAAGAAAAGTCAGGGTGATGACTCATCATTTCAAGTCAGCTCCACAAGTACTTCAGTGTTTGCCTATTGTCAACAGGTCACGTCCACATTTGCTCCAGCTTCGAGACTGTTATTGAAGTGTTCTTATCAGGAGCATACTGTAAGTGGCCTTTCGTTTACACAATCTTTTTGCAAATGGATGATTTTCATACAGAAGCATAAAAATCTCTCCTTTCTTCTCTGCAAGGTGTCATCTTAGTGACATGCTGTAATTCTGCTCATTCAGGGGAGCTGAGTGAAAACACAGGGCAAAGATACCAGTACATGAGGAACCTAGATGCTTGCTCTCGAAGTAAACTCAAGGAAGCCACTTTAAGAATCTCCAGGACTAAAGTACAGAGGACAATACCTGTCCTCCCTACCCTCGGGAAAGTTTATTCACTCAGCAACCTATTGGGAGCATCTGCTGCATATGCAGAGCTCCTTGCTAGGAACTGTGGAAGGCAGCAGCAACAGTTATTCCAGCTACAGAAGCACGTTTTCCTACGGCGACTGCGAGGGACAGGTGAGCGCCCTGGCTCAGGGGAGGACGCTCCCACTCAGGAGACTAAAGTTGGGCCTCAGGCCTGCACGGTCCCTGGTCCTGTTTCCCTCATCCAGAGCATTCTGAAAGCGACATCCCTCCGGGGCCACATGGTTCCAGGCATCTGAGCTCTGAGCTAAGATCAGAGCCCCTGGTCCATTTCCAGTGGGTTTCTCAGCTTCCTCCCTGACTTCCACTCAGCCTCTTCCTTTGCCAAAGACTTTTTTCTCTGCTTTTTTCCAGAGCAGGGGGTTAGTTATCCATCAAGCTAGTACCCCAACTTTTGGCAACAAAAAACATATTTGGCCTTCCTGAAAGGGAATTGTAGAGACCTTAAAAATACAGGGACACCCTCCTTCGTCTTACATCGCCTTCCTTCAAGAATGCACTGGAAAAAAGTTTTCAGCTGAGAAGGGAAAAGTGTGTTAAAACATTCCATTTCAAATTCTGCATCCCATTTGTGGCGAGCGCTTATGATTCAATCCAGTACAGGTAAACAGTACTCAGGAGACTCTTATTTCAGAGGACAGGATTTTATTCAAACAAATTTACATGGCACTCTCCCAGGGATCCTAATGCCTGTCTCTGCTACCCTAGCCAGCCAGGAGCATACTCAGGCCTTCCCCAAGCTTCCCTTAGGGGGGGGGGGGGGGGGGGGGGGGGGGGTCCACCTGCTCTTGGTGCAGGTCCAGTCTTGTGGTTCACCGGTGACACCCAGTGGTCATCGGGAGAAGGGGCACGCTCTCAAGTGGCGGCTGCCTCTACATCAGAGCCTCGGGCCAGACCCTGACAGTATGCGGTTGTTGCAACTCAGTTTTTGTCAGAGATCTCTCTTCTTTTACAGTGGTCTCCTCTCCTAACTCCTCACACCCTTTTACAGGGGTGTAAGTCGCTTTTCGTGTTGTTGCTGGGCATGTCTCAGTGAAGGGGTTATTCTTGCCTAGGACCTTATTGACCAGTTGTTTTCCCCTTCTTCGGTCAATGTCTATGTCATCTATTACTTTGCACAATATGGCTGTTATTTCTTCCATTGGGCCCTTCTCACTATGGGGTTTACTGCGCATGGGTCTGTCAGGGGAATGGTTACATCTGTCCCCTTAGGATAACCTTTAAATTTTTCCTGAATTAGCATTTCTGTCTCCTTCCAAGGGGACCCTGGCTCTATCTCTACCCTTGTCTTAATTTTACTCCCTTTCCTTCTCAGCTTCTCCCATACTTTACTCCTGGTGGTTGCCATTACCTAGGCTTCAGGTTCCAACCAGGTGGCTAGGGTAAATATTCTAGTAATGAGCACCTTCCTTAAAGTACCAATGAATGGATCCGGCTGTGTTTAGTTCCTGAATTTGTTTGCCTAATAGCGAGTCTCCAATTCTATATAATCTTTTAGCTATCCACTGTCCATAGCCGCTTGGCGTTTTTCATTGGGGGTGAGTTCTAAAATCCCTCTGAGAGAATCTCAGCGTTGGGGGTTTCTTTTGCTCTGGAGGAAGGGGTGACCTTCACCCAATTTACCCACTCTTCCCCAATCAAGGCTGGGTTGGCTTTGTCTGGGTGGTGAGCCTAGGTATGCAGGAGAAAAGGACCCACACCTGAGTCACTGGCTTTTCCCCAACCAAGGCTGGGTTGACATCATACAGGTGGTTGGTCAAGGTTTCCGCTCACTGCGCCCTTCCTTGTTCCTTTGCTCAAGTGCCTCCAATGCCTCAATCAGTTCCCAGACCAAGATTTGTGTCCAGATCACCCTTTCTCACACTAGGCTTATAAAAAGCCAAAAGGCCACGATCATAATCCTCTTTGCGAGATCCTGCCAATTGTTGTGAGTGCTTATGATTCAATTGAGTACAGGTAAACAGTACGCGGGAGACTCTTATTTCAGAGGACAGGATTTTATTCAAACAAATTTACACAGCACGTTCCCACAGATCCTAATGCCTGTCTCTTCTACCCTAGCCAGCCAGGAGTTTTCTCAGGCCTTCCCCAAGCCTCACTCACCATGCAACAGTTCTCAGCTGATAAGGGGGGGTCCAGCTGAGCCACTCTTGGTGCAGGTCCAGTCTTGTGGTTCACCGGCAACACCCAGTGGTCATCAGAAGAAGGGGCACGCTCTCAAGCGGCGGCTGCCTCTATGTCAGAGCCTCGGGACAGTCCCTGAGAGTGCGGGGTCTCCAGTGTTCAGGGGGCGAGCGAGGTTTTGGGTTTCGGCTCTGGGTTTATATACCTGGTGGTGACCTCATAGTTTCTGCTATTGGCACTTCCACCTTAGGTTTGGCTTATTTGCCTATTGCTGCCACCTTAGGTTTGGCTTATTTGCATATTGCCTGTCACTCTCTGGCTTGGTTTCTAAGTCCTAACACACACTGACTAATAATTCTTATTTCAACAATTTTTCATACTTTAACACAACACAATCCATCAATACAACAGCAATTTTATATGTGTTCACCACACCATTCCACTTACATAATATCAGAAGCAGGAGCAGTTGTTTCCTATGGGAGGATATTACAGAATTTTGCAGGAAGGGTAGCCTTTGTTTAGGCACTAAAGACAGATGGGATTAAACTAGGTTGGATGAGGAAGAATGGCATCTCACATGGAGGAGCACTGGGGGCCCCTGTTCAAAAAGGGGACCATCTAGAATGTGTCAGAAAACTGCAAAGATACAGATGCAGCAGGAAGGTCAGAGGGAGAACTGCCACCATGGATGACAAGGGCAGGACTGTGGTCCAAACCACTGGAGTAGGTCCTCCTCTAAGAGGCCACCACTCCCAATCTCATGGTACCCAGCTCCCTTTGCCCACTCATTACAGAGGTTCCATCTTCCTATCACCTGTGGTCACCTGAGTGCTTACCCTCAACTCTCTGTATACCCCAGTCTGACCAAGTGATTCTCCCATTCCCTCCTAAAACTTCTCTACATTATAACCTCTCTGTAACATTCTCCTCACTTTGTTCTGGAATATGGTGGCTTTCTAAGGACACTCTTCCCTTGGCCATCCAAGCTCCATGTAGCCAGGGGCTTAGGAGGAAAGGCAGATATCTTTGCTTCCTTCTTTCACCTCTAAATCATTTGTTCCTCTTTCCCTGCAAAAACTTTGAGTGCATGTGACTGGGATGCATCGTCTCAGTCTTCTTTTGTCCCAAGTTCAGTCATCACTCTGTAACTTCAACATTCCCAGGAAAGCCCATGTCAATTCCCTGTCATCTTAGGTGTTTTACTTACTTATCTCACAAGGTCTTTTCTTTCCCTCTACTTCAGTCACCCACTCCAATCATTGCATCCCAGAGGATTGCACTACCTCTAAATTCCTGAAGGCCAACACCAAGGGTGTGGACCATTCCATCACTTCCTAGTTGTTTAGTCCTTCAATCTCCTCCTGACCTCTAGTTCACTGGTCTTCCCACTATCCCACTATCCATCAATATCCTCAGATGTGCCTTCCTCTTGCCTAGGTTCAATTCCATATTTCACCATTCTAACCATTTTTTTACAAATGCCATGAATTTCTTTACCTGTTTACCTTCCTTTACAGTATTCCTTTCTATGCCTGAGCACAATTGCAGATATTTACATTATTTCTTTCATTCCAAATTCATAGTATCAACTTCAAGAACCTCTGAACCTCTTGTCAGTGCTCTTCTGTTGCTCTAGGAAGCTCAATTGCCAGTTCTCCTGCAGGATCAATTTCTCTCTTCTCCTGATGAGTGTTAGTTTATACCCACCCACAGTGTGGATTTCCTTTTCCATGTCTTCTTAAGCTACCACCTATCAAAGCAGACTTTCTCCAAGGAATTGTCTGTATACCTCTGTTTCCTGGTTTTCATTCTCTCCTCAACCAACTCCAAACTGTCTTCTCCTGACAGAATGATATTTCTCATTGCATATACTCCAGGTTGCCATATTGCATTGTCAGTTTTCTGGTTAGTGACTATGGTAGACTGAATAATGACCACCCCTCCAAGTGATGTCTATGTTATGTTCTCTGAACTCAGGGATATGTTGTCTTTCATGTTTCACTTTGCAAGCAGGTTCAATTCAAGGACTTCACATATACTGTTCCCTCTGCCTGGAAGACCCTGTTCATGCACCACCTCTATATCTTGTGAGAGGAATCCTCCATGTTCTCTAGTGAAATCATTGTCCCTTGTTGTTCTCTTTCTGTGTACCTGTTGCTTTCTTTTATGACACTTATCACAACTCATGTGCATAAATTTTCAATTATTGCTGTCTCCCTTACCCACTAAGTTGAAAGCTCCACAAGACCAGAGAGTGTAACTCCTTCATTCACCAATATTGCTACAATACTTAGCACCATTCAAGGCAATAAATATTGCTCAAGCAATATTTGCTGAGTGTTTGTCATGGAAAGGGAGAGAGAAAAATGAGTTCTACTGGCAAAATGTTATTAGGGGGACATAAAGTTAAGAAAGTGAGAGACCAGATCATGTGGAGTACCAAATGTCATTTCAAGTAATTCAAACATTTTAGGAAATGGGGAAAAATATTCTGAGAAAATTGCTAGCATCTGCTTTATGGGTAAATATCCCTAGCAGCAGTACAGGGATGGATTGAATCAAAGGCAAAACTTAAGGAGATAAAATGATTCAGCAGATACATTCTTTGAGAAGGAGAAAGGATGACATAATTATGTGTTGTACTATGTTATATATATAATTTTATTTGTTAAGAATTAACAATATTTAGACCAGGAAGGTGGAAACTGCCTGTGAACTTGTGCACTTGGGAGGCTGAGGCTGAAGAATCAACAGTTTGAGGCCAGCCTGGGTGACATAGTAAGTTCATGACCCGCCTGGGTTATATAGTAAGAGCCTGTCTTAAAGAAAAAAAAGATTTTAACAATATTTTAACAATATATGACTTGATCAAACAATTCAGCCTTGGGTTTGCCATGTCAAATTAACATAATTTTTAATGACTGCTCCAGATTACCTCAGAATATATTTGCACCCACAAGCTATAAAACATTTCTAGTTTGTGCTTTAGGAGCTAATCAGGTCTGAAAAAAACCTCCCATATTTAGCTGGCTATTTTTAAACAGAAACAATATCTACTCCTTCCAGTTCAGATCACTTTAAACTTGGTGGGAGAGCCTCTTACTCAGGCCATGTGTGCCAGCCGGGGAATTCTGTGGCCCAATTCCTTCAAATTATCTGGATTAAAATAGTACCTGGAAAAAGTGATTAAAGTAGCTATGAATTTTGAAAACTTCAAAAATAACCATACAGACTTGAAACAAACAAAACTTTAAAACAAACAAAACTAATTCTACCCAAAGTACCTGGAGAAAAGGAAGAGGCCAAAATAGCTCTCCACTAGATGCTAGAAAAAGTGAGCAATGGAGAAAGGAAGATATTGAATTGCAGCCAAGAGGCCCACCTCTAGCAAGTGGTTTTAAATGCACATTTTATTCAAATGTCATCCTTCAATCCAAAATTTTTCAGTGGAGCAAACACACTGGTCATGGTGGTATGCTTGAGGGGATCAGTAATGAAGAAAATGTATGCTGCCTGCTACCCTCATCTAATTCAAGCAGCTCTTTCACTGGTTCCGCAGCATGGGGCCACCTCAATTTTCACCTATTGGGAAATTTTTTCTTTTTAAACAGTGCTGGGAATTGAACCCAAGGCTTTGTGCATGCAAGGCAAGCATACTACACCCCAGCCCTTCCTATTGGGGAATTCTTGGCACAAGCCAAAGAAATCCAGACAAAATGCTAAGGGAGAAAACAGGTGAAATTACTATAAAAGGCAGCTGAATAAAGCTTTTGTTTTAATTATGAAGACATAGGCATTACATTAATCCCTGAGTAGCTCAAGGACTAAAGTGGTTTATCTTGAAGAAACAGCAAGGTGAAAAGGAAGGAAACTAAAATTCTAGTAAAAAACTTCACTGATTAGTGCCAACAGATATTCGTGGTATGATCAAGAGATTTTATGTCATTATAAAATGCATTAAGGACACTTATATAGCAAGTAGTTAAACCTGCTGAAATGATCCTACACAATGGGAGACATCTGGGAGCAGTGTGGCCTGGGGAAGTGGCCTTAACCTGTTCAGCAGAACACTTGAGTATTGGCCAGAGCTCCTCATCTTACTAACTTTTCCAATTGGAGCTGGTGTCCTCAATTCTCTGACAATTATTTCCTTATCTTAGACTAAAATAGTGACATTCACTTTAGAAAGGAAGAGCACCATCCCTGCGACCAGCAAGAACAGTCTGAAGTCTCAGATGTGTTAGAGTGGAGTGGAAGACCGACCTTGAGCTAGACCTTCATTCTTTGTGTCAAGTTCATCCATGAAGAGGGAAAAGCAGTGGCTTGTGCAAGAGAAGCCTTGTTTGGTTATCAGGAAAAACTGGTGAGGTCACAGTGACATTTTCAAGCACAGTCAGATAATGAAAGTAACAATGGCTTCTCCTGGCTACAGCATTTCCCAATGTGTGGAGTGAGAAAACAGAAATCCCTGAACAGTGGGAGTGCAAGAGACAGGGACTGTGGCCAAAGGTCCTGAAGAAACATGGTAGAGTACATTCTCTTCTTGACAACTCAGGGTTCACCACAGCAGATTACAAACTTTGAAAAGTCCCACCATAAGGGAACAGGCTTCACTGTAACTCACCATTTCCAGAATATAGATAAACATTGTCCTAGGATACAAAATCCAAGTTCCTTAATAAGGTCTATAATGTCCTCCAAGATGGAACTCTTGCCACTGCCTGCCTCAAACCTTCTGTTTCATTGGGCCAAATCTGGAGCGCCCTTCTGCCCACCCCTGCTTTTCCCAGGTCTTCATGCCCCATCCTGCCCTGCAGACCGCAGGTTGAAATGCTTCTTTGTATGGTGTTTTGCCTCAGCAAAGCACACATGATCTCTTTCCCCCTCCTTAACTACCTAATTCCTATTTAACCCTTAAGATTCTATGCAGTCACAGTCACCCAGGAGGAAGTGTCTGTCTGAGATGTTTTGTGACCTTGAGTGAAGCTGCCTATGGAGAGAAGTAACTCACTTGTACATAGCAATATCTGTTTTGTAATTTTTTTATATATTATCTCCTTTAGTACTTATTTCAATTCTGCAAAGTAGACATCATTGTCATCATTTTATAGGTGAGAAAATGAAGATCAGAAAGTCCACATGACTTGTTTAAGATCACCCCATCAGGAAATGGCAAAGGTAGGGAGTGCCCTCTTCAAACCCAGTCCTGTCCAGGCAGAGGTTATGCGACACAGACATTTGAGGAGCTGCCCTTAAAACTAATGAGCTACCTGCTTCTCCCTACATCTCTTTCTCCTACATGGTCCCTTGCAGCCCCTTGGATGGGCCTGTGAGACCCAGAGTATGGAGTGTCTACAGAGGAGAGAACGCATTTGTAGCCTGTGCCCACAGACTCTTCAGCTGTTGCTCATCCCAGAGGTCTGCTTGGTTGATTTTTTTTAAGAGTGTTTACTATTTTTTTCCTATTGCTAAATGCAAAACAAAATGCAAGCCCAGTCAGAAGAGTACCCACCCACTAGGATATTTATTTTAGATGCAAATATTTGTAATAATGAGGAGGTGGAAAGGATGAAACTGATTTTAGAAAAAAAATTTCCTATCATTGGCTGTATTTCAAAAGTTGACAAAGACTAAATGGAAATTCTCCATTAGTTTTTGAAAACACTGAGCCCAATAAACCTGTGCTGCTATATGACTTTTTAGCTACCCATCTTCTTTTTTTTGAATTAGCATACATGAATGATGCAAGGGAATTTCGTTGTGATACAGTGTACTTTGAACAAGTTCACCCCCTCCATCATATTTTCATCCCCTTATTTGGTGGGCTTCATTATGCTGTCTTCATATGTTTATATGCACGTCAATCCTCTTCACCCCTCAGTATCCATTCCTTTCCTCCTCCATTGATCCTCTCTCAGACAGTTCCCCATTTACATTCATGGCCTGTTATTACTGTTATTATTGTTGCTGTTATTACTGTGGTCATCATTTTAGGACTAGGTTCTATAAATGAACAAGAACATGCAATATTTGTTGCCTATCTTTTTTACTTTTGTTGAATTCTCCTAGGATGTTTGGTGCTACTAAGGCTTTTCCCCAACCTGCTGTGGCCCATTCTCTCCTCTTGCCATGTCTGTGCTATCTCCAGGAGCTGCTGGACCTGGATAGTCTGTAAGGAAGCAACTGAGAGAACCACTTGCAGATATCAAGGATATTCTGAGGTTTCTCTTCCCGGAGTACATTAGTCAGCTTTCCATCACTGTAACAAAACCTGAGACAATCAACTTATGAAGAGAAAAGGTTTATTCTTGTTCAGAGTTATAGAGGTTTCAGTCCATAGTTGATTGGCTTTGTTGTTTTGATCTGCTAGTGGAATATTATGGTGGAAGTGTGGGTAGAACATAACTGTTCATCTCTTGGCTAGAAAATGATAGCAAAGAAGAGGAAGGGACAGGGGTCCCACCATCCACTTCAATGGCCCACCCCAATGACCTAAGAATTTCCTGGTAGGCTCCAACACTTAAAGTTTCCACCACCTCCCAATAGATGGGGGACATTCCAGATCTAAACTAAGGCTTAGAGGATTAGTACCTTAAAGGAGAATCTACCCTTACCCCAAAAGCAATGCTTAACCCAGAGAAATGAATCTGTAAGGATGGAACTTTTAGTTCCATGGCACCTTGATGGGCATACCTTTAGGATCTTGGCATTTTTCAAGTTGCACCCTATGAGAGGACCTTTTCCTCTCCCATTTATAAGGCCATTCTGACTCCAGGGGAGATAAAATTTATCCTGTGCTGAAGAAGAGAGGCTAGAGCATATGTGTGTTAAGCATTTTTAACACCTAAACAACTGCACAAACTAGTGGAAAGCATTTTGTTTCAAACAGTTGTACTTTTAGGTGTTGCTTTCTGCCCTCTACCCCTTCCTGTTCTTTCACTAGACATGGCCTGTTATGATAAATAAGGCCTTTTTTTCTATTGCAAGATTCCTTTCTGGAAGGCAGAGAGCCTGTGTGATAAGCACATATACTCATAGCCTGTCCATACTCTTTCAAAGTTGTCAAAACTTCTTGATCTGCCAAGCAAGGGTAAATGAGATCCACATGCCTGTGTCTGTCTGCATTCCCACTTAGCATGACTGGTCCTCACCAGTCCTGAATGCTCCATACTGGTCTTCTTTTCCCAGCCACCCCCTCAGCCCTCACCCTAAATAAACTGTATTTCCAAGACAGCATTTCAATTTGCTTCCTGAAGGAAAACAGCTTGAGTGTAACAGAGGATGGTGTGGAAGTCAACCTGGACTTGGATCTCTGCCCTCCCTGTTACTAAGTCTGCTGCTTGGTAAAGTTAGCCTTGGTGTCTCCACTTACCTATGTACCACCGGGTGCCCTGGCAAACTATGGGACCTGGTGAGTGCTCTATGAGAAGCCCCAGCACAAGGTGGGCTCATAACTGCCAGGAAGCCTCTTCTTCCTACCTAGCAGTGTGGAGAAGCAGCTTTCACCAGAGACTCAAAAAGTTTGTTGAACTGAAGGATGTAATTGAATATACTAATGCCATCTGTTGCAGATTTAATGTCAACACCAGGGCTAATCAGCTTTCTGTTACTATAACAAATTACCTGAGACAAGTTGACTTATAAGGGAAAAAGGGGTTGTTCAGGCTCACAGTTTTAAAGGTTTCAGCCTTTGGTCAGTGGGCCCCATTGCTTTTTGGTCTGGCTGGCAAGACATTAATCATGGCAGGAGTGAATGGTAAAGCAAGGTGTTCACTTTATGGCAGCTGAGAAATGAAAGAGACAGAAAGGGGCCAGGGTCCCAACATACCCCTTCAGGGCCTCAATATACCCTTCCAGAGAGTGCCTCCAATGACCTAAGTAGGCCTCATCTCCTAAAGTCTCTGCCCCTCTCAGTAGCACAACAGGCTGGAGACCAAGCCTTCAACACATGGTCTTTGGGGGGCATTTCAGACCCAAACTATATTACCATTTCCCCAAAATCCTTCAATAGAACTCCTCAAGTTGGTTTTCAAAACCTTCCATGATTTGGGATGAAGCCCTCCAGCTTTACTTCCCTAGATGTTCTGTGTGCTTTCCGTTGCTTAGAACCGCATGCCATGCTTAAAGTTGCTGTATAATTTCACATTGTTGGGCTGATGGAGTGGATCAAGTGGTAAGGGTGCCTGCCTAGCAAGTGTGAGGCCCTGAGTTCAAAACCCATGACACCAAAAAAATATATATATATAAAACAATATGAAATATATATATAAATATTATATATATATATATATATATATATATATATATGTATCATCGTTGGACCTTTCTTCTTGTTCCTCAGCCTTGAATTAGTGACTCTCTATTCTTGACCTGCTGAAATGCGAACCCATAAGGTCACCTGGAAAGATACTTCTTGCATGAGCTTTTCCTGTCAGCTTCATCAGAATTAATCTCTCACTTCTAGTGCCTCTAGTCATCATTGAGCATACTCTGTCTAGCATTAAAACTAGATTATAAGCTTATTAAAGCAAGAACTTGTCCTTCTGTAGGACCATTTTTTCACCCAACAAATATTGATTGATCACCTACTGAGGGGTAAACTGTGCTAGGGACTGGGTATAGGGAATCATATGGGGTTAGGAGAAATAGACTTCAAAGAATTAAGCAAGCATTTAAGTGATGTGTGCTATTTGAGGACATGTCCCATCTTCTGAGCTCATAGCACTTTGACCTTGTTGTGCCTGCAGGACATTTACCTGCTGTGTCTTTCTCCAGACTTACCCATGGAAGCAGCAGCCCACTGGGCGTCCAGCTGCTTCACCTTGGTAGACTCCAGGGTACAGCACTCACAGAGCCTGGCACACATACTTGTTCAACACTTGTGTCACTTCATGGCAGTGGCCTGTGTTCCACTGATACCTGAACATTGTTCAGCTGACATGTTTTACCTTAAAAGAGAAGAGCAGGTCTCACAGTGTCCCCTGACATCTACATGGCAGTTACTTAGCCACTGTCTGAGTTAGGGTGGTCATTTTATATTTCACGTGTGATGGTTGGATATTTGCAAGTGTGCTACTGGTGAGGGTGGGAGGAGGACTGCAATCCAGTCTAGGGTGCTTTCCTTGTGATCACCCTTATCTAAACAAAAGCTTCACTTATCTCCATGGGTAGCAGTCCTCAAGCCAGAGGCCTCTGTTAAGCACAGCAGGAGCTGGGTGCTGCAGCTCACCCCTGTAATCCTCGCTCCTTGGAGGCAGAGGTTGCAAGGGATCATGGTTCAAAGCCAGCCCAGGAAACATTTACAAGACCCCATCTCACCCAATAAAAGCTGTCATCACAACTCGGTGTGAAGCCTAGGTAGGAGGATCAGAGTCCAGGCTGTCCTAGGCATAAATGTGAGACCCTATTGTTAAAATACATCAAGCAGAAAGAGCTGGGGGCATGGCTCAAGTGGTAGAGCACCTGCTTGGCAAGCTCAGGGTCCTGAGTCCAAACCCCAATACCACCATCGGTACCAAAAAAGGGAGGGGGTGTAGATGTTGCTCAGTGATAGAGCATGTTATTCATATGTGTAAGGCCCTGTGTTCAATTGCCAGCACCAAAAAAAAAGAGAAAAGCAGCAGAGTCCCAGAAATCCTAAAACCAACATAGAGTTTACATTTTACACAAGTGGGGATCCTAAATATTATGAGGCCTTATTAGAATCAGTTTTTTCTTGTTTTTTTCTTGAGACACAGTCTCCCTATGTAACCCAGGCTGGCCTCTAACTCGTGATCCTCCTGCCTTCATGTGTGCCCCACCACACCAAGTTTCCCCTTTCTTTTTGCTTCAGGGACCACTATGTGCCTTTTAGGGGGCAGATACTGTGTTTAATACTGAGCTAGGTAACTAGTTCTGGACTTGGTGAGAACCAGTTCTTGCTGCCTTTGCAGCATTAGGAAAGACAGCAAAGGAGGCACTTGAGGATCACTGCTTTAATGCCAAAAAAAAATTCCTGCCAGGCCATTACTAGACAGTTTTCACAAGGTAAAAAGTAGGTACTCAATCAATGTGCTTAGTAACTGCTCTTATTAAAACCTGATAGGGTGCAGGTAGCTCACACCTGTAATCCTTGCTGCTTGGGAGGCTAAGGTAGAGATGATCATGGTTCAAGGCCAGCCAGGGCAAATAACTTGAGA